CAGAGCTGGATGAACACAGCAGGCCAAGCAGCATCATAGGAGCAAACTATGATGCTGCTTGGCCTGCTGTGTTCATCCAGCTCTGCACCTTGTTGTCTCTGACTAAATAAAGTTTTGTTAAATAGATGTGTTATCATAATTGGTAGACAACATATTGACTGCATTTAGCAAAAACTTGTATTTGTGTAAGGCCTCTAAAGTGGTAAAAATACTCAGGAGTGACTCTTGGACAAAATTTGACACTGAGTAGCATAAGGAGATATGAACATGTCACCACAATTTTGATCAATGAGGTAGGTTTTGAAGAATGTTTAAAGGAGTAATGTAAGGGAAAATGTTGGAGAGGTTTCGGGAGGGAGTCCCTGGTAGGGATGCCGAAGACATGTTACTGTTCATCTGTGAAACTCCATTCGAGGTTCGGAAAGATCATTCTTGAGGACCAGGTGAGAGACTGGGCTGTTCTAGCTGAAGATCAGGAAACCCTGTCTCAGAGTCTGGCAGAGATATGGAAGACCGATATCCAGTTCCAGGTTCCTTTCCTCCATTGCTGAATATCAACACTGTTTCTTGAAAATGAAGATTTCAAAGCCATTTCAGATTCTTCCCAGCCCAAGCTTCATTGGAGAAATGACAAAATGGGTCTCTTTTATGGTATGCCCTGATTCAGTTAAAGCCTCTATCAGTAATGTATACCACAAGAGTTCATTGTTTTACTTCCTGTTGAATCTACTGTTTTAACCTTGTTTGTAATTTTAAGTTTTAGAATCAGTTGAAGTGAGACATTTTAGAGCAGCCTGCTGTTTTTGAGGTGAGTCTCTTGACTGTATCCAATGAGTCCATCCAGTTCTTCAGAGAAAGAACCTGTCATCCTTACCCAGTCTATTGTGACTCCAGTCTTTGACTCTTACTTTAGCTCTGAAGTGACAAGTATATCAAACTCACAATCAATGGTTTAATAAGAAAGTCCACCACCATCTTCCCAAGGCCAACAAGGGTTGGGCAACAAGAGAATGAATGAAATGAGTATGTTTAGGGATGCATTGATTGTGTGGCCATGGAAGCTGATGTTTCTCCATCTTCCTCTTTCAGAACGTTTACTACATGAGCAACCAGCAGATCCGTGTGGGGATATTGAGTCCTACTATTGATGATGATGACAACAAGTGCCTGGTAGATGTGAACAACAAGCCTAGACTGATTGAGTGCAGTTACGCTAAAGCAAAGCGAATGAAGCTTTATTGGCTCTTTACTCAGGTGAGTATTTTGCCATGAATACTATGGTTAGATAATGACTACAGTCGATGTATTGAATACCCTGGAGCTTTTGTTCATTTAAGTTTCAACTAGAACCATCATACCTGCTTTTGGACTAACTTGGAGGCCATGCTAGCCCTTCAACAGTTTACTTTGGAGCTCAGAGACACCTTGCGCGCTTCTGCCAGGTCACTTTGCGTGAAGGGACACATATGCATCTCAAGCATTTGCACAGAATGCATCTTATGGCTCTTAGCCTACTTTTTTAGCACTCACTCACTCACTTTGTATTTTTTTGGAGGCTGCCAGCCTCAGTCTACTTGACATTGCTTACTTAGCTCTCACTCACTGACGTCAGCACTGGCTCTAACCTTTGAGCACTCACTTTGCTTTTTAGAGTAGAGGCAGAGGCAGGCACTGCCTGAGGGTGGACATGTTGCTGTACTCCATCAACAGCACACCTGCAGCATGTGCCATTCGTTTGCACAGGGAAAACACTGCAAATGGCTGTGTGTGAAATTCAAAGGGGAACAGTTCTCAGTGGGGTGAAGAGAGACAGTGGTCAGTTGGGAGTACTGCCACAGTCTCTCAAGGGGTATGTCCTAATCCAGTCCTGAGTGTTGGCCATAGTCACGCACTTGATCCTACCAGAGTCCAGGGATCTGGTATTGAGCCAGTGTCTTCTGCAGTGAGCCAAAGGGAGGGATTGAGTGGAAGGAAGATCAATTAGTGGTGATGCCTGACAAGGAAGGGGTGGTAAGGTGTGCTGAGTGAGTGAGTAGGAAGTGCAACAGAACAGCAAGGGTTCATAGTTTGGGAGGATAAGATAGGTGAGAGCTGTTGAGTGGCCATGATCATGCAATAATGAGAGTTTAGTTCATGGGCCTTGGTGAGAGGCAAGTGCAGAGGTAGAGTTAGGATGAGTGGAGGCTGTGTGAATGTAGGCACCAGAGAGAAGATGGTGGCATTTAACCTCAGGAAATACATTTACCTTCTACCTGCACCACTGCATGTCCCAGTTCATCCAGGAGACGCACTGAACTTAGCTGCAGTTTGGGTCCAGGCTGGCTTGGTCTAGTCTCCTGTGGTGGTCTTCAGGAAAAAGGACTTCCCTTCTCTCTACCGTCCCATCCAGCAACATCTGTAGGTCTGTGCCTGTGAAGCAGGGAGTGTGCTGTCCTTCCCTCTGTACCATGTTCTTGTAAATAATGGTCAAGCACCACGGTGTGAGGGGTGATTTGTGATTTGCAGCGTCTGAAGTGATATACATCTGGACTTATGGCACCAGTGACATGATCACTGGAAGGTCCTGGAACTGGAAACATTTCCACCTCTCCGGCTGAGCAATTCCCTGAAATAGGCACCCAAGAGGAGCACCTCAGGGCAGGTGATGGCCTAGAGGTATCATTGCTAGACTATTAATCCAGAAACACAGTCAATGTTCTGGAGACCTGGGTTCAAATCCCACCATGGCAGATGGTTGTATTTGTATTCAATAAAAAAAGAATCTGGAAGTAAGAGTCTAATGATGAGTATGAAACCATATTCGGTCGTGAGGACAAACCCATCTGATTCACTAATGTCCTGTAGGGAAGGAAATCTATTATCCTTAACTGGTCTAGCCCATATGTGACTCCAGACCCACAGCAATGTGGTTGACTCTTAGGGATGTGCAATAAATGCTGGCCTAGCCAGCGACACCTCCATCCTGTGTGATTTTTTTAAAAAAGAGCCTGAGTCTATGAGTAATGAAGTAAAGATCAGAAGAATTTGTAAGAGAAGTCACTCTAAGGTACGGCAGACTGGCTGCCATCAATCTCACTTGACAAAACAGTTTCACGGAAAATTTAGCCTGACTTATCGTGCAACACAGAAGGAAATCATTCATCCCATTGTGTCCATGCCAGCTCTTTGTTAGAACTATTCAATTAATTGTACTCCCCTACCTTTTTTCCCCTAGAACTGTTGTCATGACAGATTGAGGTAGTGCACTGGGAATCAAGCCTCACTATTCCCAGAGTATTTACAAATGGGAAAAAAAATAAACTATCCTAAATCACCAACTGACCTGACTGACAGACCCTCATTTAAAGAAAGCACTCTCCAAATTTCTAAGCTGAATAAGAAAGTAGCTGTTTACTGCAAACGTGTTGGTTTTAGGGATGAAACAAATTACTAACATATAAATCAATATGACTTAAATTCTTAACTTTAACTTAAATTCCCCTCTCTCGTACAGACAGACAAAGACAAATATAGATCTTGTTTCTTTTTAGTCTAAAACTAAAGGAAATAGTAAGAGATGCTTTACATGTAAATAAACTGGTACAGTATTTGGGATCAGAATGGTTGAGCCAGGGTAAGCATAACCGGACGCGAAACGTTAACTCTGTTTTCTCCTTCACAGATGCTGTCGGACCTGCTGAGCTTTTCCAGCAACTTTGTTTTTGTTCCTGATTTACAGCATCCGCAGTTCTTTTGGTTTTTATTAAGCATAATTAAAGCAAGGGAGCTTGGTGGATTGTGCTGGTAAACAGAGACATCCATTACCAGAGACGGTGATCCACTTCACTGCCAGAATTGGCAGCTGGATCCACCTGACACCATTCGGGGAGCCAACGTTCCAAAGGGATTAAAGTCCCACACAATGTGCTTGGTGAGTGGCTCCAGGCCAACTCTCAGTTATCTTTATTATTCCAAAAGAACATAAGAAATAGAGCAGGAGTAGTGCATATGGCTTACTCAATCACTTGGCGTTATCAATGCTGATCTGGGCTTTAACTCCACATCTCTACCTCCCCCATTCCCCCATGCGCTTGTTCCCTGAAATACCACATATTTGTCTATCTCAACCTTAAATATATTTGATAATGGTGCATCCATAATCAAAAGCACAGAATTTTAAAAGAGTCACAACCCCTTTGAGTAAAGACTCGATAACTGGCCCCTTAGCCTGGCCCCAGAATGACTGGTCCCTTACCCTGAGGCTGTGCCAGGGAAAACAGCATAACCTACAATGTTAAGCCACTTCATAGTCTTGATTCTTTTCAGTTACATAAACTTTTATTTTTCTAAAATCCCAGAGGATATAAATCAACTTAGCCAGCCTCTCATCACAAGAAAACCCTCTAATTCCAGGGACCAATCTTGTGAAACTTTGTTGCACTGTCTCCAATGCAAGTACATCTTCCTGGAATATGAAGACCAAAATGGCATGTTGTATAATAATCTTACCAAAGGCCCATTACAACGGAAGCAAGACTACTTTGTTCTTGCACTCAATTCCCTTGCGATAAAGCCTAACATGACATTTGCTTTCCTGATTGCTACTTGCGTCTGCATGCTAACCTCTGGTGTTCCTTGTACCAAGTCCCAATGAACATCAACATTTACGAGCTTCACACTTTTCAAAAATATTCTGCTTTTCCATTCTTAAATCAAAGTTCGAAGTATGTTCTGGGGAGCTGCAAGCCTTGTTGAACAGCTACCAGCAAATCCCACATCTGCTATTGGAGTCAGATGCTGCTTCGATGATGTGTTTGTACGGTTAAGAACCTCAATGGGTATCACTTGACCCAGGTTAATTTCAACTGGAGAACAGAGATAATTCACATAGGAACAGGGACAAGACATTCAGTCCCTCTAATGTATACTTTTATTCAAGTGGATCACGCTTGATCTTTTTCCCCTAACTCCATTCACCAGTTTTATTCCACTTCTTTGACCTGACAATAATCTGTCTCAGCCTTGAAAATTGACTCAAAATCCAGTGGGAGAGAAATTTCTACTACCCTTTGTGCTCATCCAACTTCCTCTTAAATCTATCCGTACTATTCAACTCAACCATTCCCTGTCGTAGTGAGATTCACACTTTTCATCACTCACTGGGTAAAGACGTCTCACTTGAATTCCTTTAGTGACGATCTTATGTTTATAGCCTCTACTTCTGGTCACCTTCAAGTGGAAACATCTCTGATCCATTTGCCCTATCAAGACGACTTGTAATTTGAAGAGTCTCCCTCAGCTATCTCTTTTGTAGAGAACAGAACTCCAGCTTTTCCAATCTTTGCTAATAGGTGTACCTTCTTGGTTATGGTACTATCCTTGTGATTTGCATTGACTACAGTGTCTGCACATCCTTCTTTAGAGACCAAACTGCAAGTACAATACTCCTGGTGTAGCCTAACCAAGGTTCAACATTATTTCTCCACTTTTCAATTCTACCCCACTAGAAATGAATCCCTGGGCTTGACTTCCCTTCATAAGGCTGCGTCAACTTCAACTTATACTTTCTGTGATTTATATATCTGTACATCTTGCTCTGTCTATTCATCTACACCATTTAGAATCTTATTTTCTAGGGAGTTTATGGACTCCTTGTTCTTCCTGTTGTTATGGTCCCGGCTGGTGTGAATTCTGGACAATTCGGATCCCAGAATGAAATCTAGCTCGAATCACCATTGGAAGACTCTTATAGAGCTTGGAGTGGCGGGCTATTGTGAGATTTGTGGCAGAAATGTGGGATGAAAAGTGCGAAGCAACTTTCACACCACACAAATGCCAGTCAATGGCCATCTCCAATAACAGGCAATCTAAGCACCACTCCTTGACATTCCCCATCATTGAAACCCCACATATCCTGGGGTTATCGTTGACTGAACTGCACTCATCATATAAATACAGTGGCTACAAAAGCAGGTCAGAGGTGAGGAATCTTGCAGCAAGTAACTCACCTCCTGCCTCTCCAAAGCCAGTCCACCATCAACAAGGCACAGGTCAGATGTTGATGGAATACTCACCACTTGCCTGGATGGGTGCAGCTCCAACAACACTCAAAAAGCTTAACACCATCCAGGACAAAGTATGGGTGTGTAGGTATTTGATAGGGGCTTAGGCGGTCCTGGCACAGCACAACAGCAGCAACCTTTGATACCAGTCTAAGGTTTGGAAATGGTCAGTCAGCCAATCAGAGCTGTCAGAGTAAGGATAGTCAACACATA